TTTAGTAAAGAATGAATTTTCAAATCTATCAATGTTTTATCATTTGCTCAACTCTGGATTTTGACATTGTTTTAGTTGAGCATGAAATTACTTAATCATTTTTCACTGCTTAATAGCTAAGGAGATTGTGAGATAGATAACAAGCTATTGAAGAGAGGTAGTGTCAAGTTCTTTGTGACAAGCAGAATGGGGGAGCATGTTACCTTAATGCTGCTTTTTGTGTGCAAAATTCCATCGCCTTAGCCATTTCTCTTTACCTGCTGGTGATGGTGATGTAGTTAATCTGTTAGCTGATGTAGTTGTGGCCTTTCTTTGGAATCAGACAAAAAATACAAATTGAGATGGTGGTATTGTGTTGAGAGTGTTTTTATGCTAGAATATGAACTATAACCACCAGTTCATACTAAATAGCCCTCTAAATAAAAGTATTCCGGGAATTTCAGAATTAGGAGAAGATAAAGTATCTATTAGCTCATTAAGATCATGTTTAGAGTCTAATGCAGAGTGCCTTTAGCATAAATATTTTCTAAAATTTGGTGGAGTCTGTCTTTCACTTAAATTTCTTCCGTTTTGGTTGAAAGTTCTATAATCCAATAAATAGACATTAAGATAGGTTTTCCTTGTTATTAAGGTTTTTCATTAAAGTTTTTCTCATCTCATTGATTCTATGATTTAGTGAAAAGTCTCTGAAATACATTTAGAGGATGTGAACTGTAGCCTAAGTTTCTGTTAAATAGCTATAGCCTTGCGAAGACACTTCATCTTTTGGGGCCTTGGTTTCCCCTTTTTGATCATTTATTTACTTATAGCTGTTCTCAATAGCCATTATCAATGACATCCTGAGGGCAAAAATTTTTGCCTGATTTGTTCATTGTAGCATCCTTTGTGATTCATATAGGGTCTTAACACATAGTAGGCACTCAATATATATTAATTGAATGAGTGATTTTTTTCTAAATGATCTCCAGTTCTCTGATTCTATACCCAATTTATGTCTTCCTCTAAACTTTCTTGTTTCTACTTGAATTTTGTTGGATGTGATAGAAGATGATCAAAAGTCACACAATTATTAACATACAAAGATTTTTTTTTCAGGTTCACAATTCTTAAGTAGGGGGAGAATAATACAAGCAAATCTTACGAGGGACACAATTGGTAGATGAGGTACATTTAATTTCATAGTTCCAAAATTATTCAAATATGGTTGCTCAAATATGGTTGTTCAGTTAGGCTAGAAGTTGGCTTCTGTGTGAAGTCTAAGACAGAGAAATGATTCTTGGCTAGACCACCACAGTGGATGCCTTGTAAGACACGAAGACACATAAATAAAGTCACTTGATTCTAGAGGACAGTATTGGCAGGTAAAACTTCAAAGCCCAAGACTTGTCATGCCTGAGCTCTTGAAGTATTGGTTAGACTCCTAAGGTCATGTGTGTTTTAAATTCTAGAAGTTAAGGTCAGTAACTCACATAAGGAGTCTGATGTGGTGTGTTGTAATATTTCTGAGAAAGAAAGGGAGCTTCCCAAGGTCAGAGGTATTGACTGCAAGTTCTCATAAATGTCTGATAAGATTTAATATTCTCAAGGTGGGAAGAAGAGTAGTTCCAAATTCTCATGTGTAGAATCTAATAGGCTGTTGCACTCTGGAACACAGAGGGAATATTTTCCCAGTTCTTATAGAAAAATAGCATGTATCATTCAGGTAGCGAACTGTGTCTTAGGAATCATTTCAAGACCACATAACAGATTTTTTTTTTCACCAGATGTGCATTAAGATAGCTACAATTAAAAAAAAACCTCAGTGATAATTGAAAACCATCAAAGAATGCTTAACACATTGGAATATAATCCTACTTCTCTCGAAGTTCTTTTATTGTGGAAAAAACATTTTTAGACCATTATCTCTAGTTAAAGCCTCTATTATGTTTTCATCAGTTCTCCTATTGATTTGAATTAAAGAATGGTTTTTACTATACTCTTAAGCTCAGTTCCCAATAGAAGTTCATTTCTTACTTGTTCTCAATTGTCATTTTCTTTTTTTAGAATTGCTGTTCCTTTGATTGCAGTATTATTGAGAAAGAAGGCACTGTTCCCGTAGTGAGTTAGGCTTGAGTACATCTTTAGCTGATGCATATTATGGTTGACTCTACCATGTATTAAATCATCTTGCAGTAAACACCACATGTGCAAAACAAAACTTATTTTACCTAATCATTACAGATAAAAAGATAGAAACATCAGAATCCAGCTGAAGAAGATACTTTGTGTTTTAAATAAAGATCCAGTCAAATCCTATTAACTGTAGATGTTAGTAAGGTAGTAATGTCATTTTTACGCATGTGATTTCAAGGTTAATCATTCATGAAGGCTTTAACCTTCTTTGCTTTACATGTTTGTAGACTTGAGTTTATAAAAGGATGTTCTGGACTTCATGCCCAGTTAAGAAGGGTATAGGTATATATTCAAATGATGATATAATTTATTGCAAAATACTTCATTGTTATGGTCTCATGATTACAGTCTTTTCCTGAAATGTTGGCTTATGAACCAAGCATAATTCCATAATTTAATTGTTCTTTTGTATTTTAAACATTGTCTCTTATTATAGTGTTTAAATTCTTATCACATTATTTTCAATTATTGTTGGTCTGTGTCTGCATACAGATTAGTAATTTAAAGTGAAAAATGTCCCTCATTCTTTGAACAATCCTTGTACATAAGGAAATTAATTCAATTCTTAAATGTTATCTATTTGTTATAAAAGAATTGCTGGTATCATGGATTTAGATGACCTTTATAGGTCATTTAATTTGATGATTATGTGTTTAAACTAGGTAACTTATGATAAATAAGTGTGAAAATATCATAATGTTTGCCTTTGTTTATGTTAATGCATATTGGGATATTGTTCTCAATATCTAAGAATACTTTTGATCTTGGTGTTTTTCTCATAAAATACTGTATCTTTGTCAAATTCGTGATTTGATTATGCTCATTTTACCCTTGGCATTCTAACTCTATGGTGATCATCCATTCCCTTCTAACATCTATTGGTCTTTTTTGCTTTAGCTATATCTTTGCATTATAGTCTTCTCTTGGTAAAAGTTATAGATATTTTATTTAAACAAGGTAAAGCATAAAGGGAAATTTATTCTCTCCCATAATAAAGCAGCAATGAGAGCAGTAATGTTTGAGACTTAAGAATTGCTGGAACAAAAGACAGGAACACTGCAGAGCTTTTTTCCATTGTTCTCTGAGTTTCTTGGTATGTCTACTTTATTATTCCTCAAACTAGCTTCCTGTGCATGGTAAAGAGTTCACCAGAGTAGCCTCTTTCTGTAACTAAGCACAGTTATAGTGACTACCCTTCTTATCCCCAGTTTTATTAGAAATTTTTAAGGAGAGTAAGCCTTGGTCTCTTTATCAAGCTCACCCTGTTGTGAGTAGCATCCCCAAGAATATGTGTTTGGAAATAGCTAGATGTTCTAGGCAAACAAAATAATAAGTGCCTGCTGTTTCTTTTTGTGACCTCTGAAATAAAAATGGTTTCTAATTGTAAATGAATGCTGAATAATAGAAAATATTACATAGTTTTGGCTGAGTGCAGTGGCATACACCTTTAATCCCATGAATTGGAAGTCTGCGGATGGAGAATCACAAGTTAGAGGCTAGTCTGGGCAACTTAGTGAGACCTTGTCTCAAAATAAAAAAGGGTGAGTGTATAGCTTAGTGGTAGAGCACACCTCCGTTCAGTCCCTAATAACTGACACATGTACACATAGTATATAATGATAGTTTCAAATACTGTGAAAGATAGCCCTGACAGTTCTGCTTCATGCGTTGGGGTGGATGGATGCTTTTCAGTAATAGGTGAAAGTCACATAATTTACTTTTGTTTTATGCTAATACACAAACAGGGCAAGATTTAAAGAATTAGAAACAAATTGCTATGTGCTCTAATATGAATAGAATTGAAAAATATCATGATTGATCTTTTTTGTCCATACAATAAAATATATCTTGAAGTCACAAATCTAAAGATTAGCTTATGAAATATTTTGATAGGATGATGAATGAAGGTAGCAAGAGTGGTTCTTTCTTCTTTTCTGTCCTCCTCTTCCTTCCTTCCTCCCCTCCACTTCTCCTCCTATTTTCATCTTCCTCCTCCTTCTTCCTGCCCTCCCCCACCCCTGGTACTAAGAATTGAAGCCAGGGTGCTCTACCACTAACTTAAATTTTCAGCCCCCACCCCCCCCCCCTTTTTGTTTTTTTTTTTTTGAGACAGGATCTTGTTAAGTTACCCAGGCTGGCCTTAAATTTGAGGTTATCCTCTGTTGCCCTGAGTAAGTGGAATTCTAGACATGTGCCACTGTGCCAGGCTGTCTGTCTGATTTTCAGGGGGTAAAGAATGATGTATATGAACCAAAATTTACCCAGAAAATAAATTAAGGATAAATTATTTGGATTTGGCAGCTTCTTTGAGAAAGAACTGCCTAGATTTATTATATTGCTGAGCACTTGATAGAGTAGATTAAGTGCTGAGGATTTAAACAGAAACTAAAGTGTTAAATGTCTCTTATATCTCTTATACACTGTTAGGAAAATAGTCACATAGCTTTTTCAAGAGATTTAACACTTAAGTATAATAAACTACTGAAGTGCACAAACTAGTAGTATCCAACTTGGATGAGTTTTTTAAGATAATGCATGTGTGTGTCAATGAAGATACTTGAATACTACCAACCCTACATAATATTTATAAGAGATTGTGTGAATTAAACAAGGTTTTTAGATCTCTTTTTTGGGAATGGGTATCCGGGATTGAATCAGGGACTTGACCACTGAGCTATATCCCCAGCCGTATTTTATATTTTATTTAGAGACATGGTCTCGCTGAGTTGCTTTGTACCTTGTTATTGCTGAGGTTGGCTTTGGACTTTAGATCCTGCCTCAGGCTCCCAGAGCTGCTGGGATTACAGGTGTGCACCACCATGCCCAGATGGTTTATAGATCTTTTGAAATTGAAAAGGTTAATGAATCATTCTGGTCAAAAGTTTTTTCTCCCAATGAGATAATGATATATTTTGGCAGAGAAGCTAAAAAGAAAATGAATAAAATACACTTACAATAACCAAAGCATTTAGAATAGCTAACAATTGGAAAAAACCCAAGTGCCTATCACTATAATGGATAAAGAAATAGGTGGTCTAGTCCTATAGTGAAACATTACTCAGCAATGAAAAGGAACAAGCTGCTGATACATCATCGTCATTAGTGAATCTCAAAATATCTAAACTTAATGAAAGTGGCTTAACACGTAAGATTAAATAGAGAGTAGAAATGAGATTTTAAAACAGGGAAAAGTAATCCATGTTGGAGGAAGAAACACCCTGAAGAGTGGTTGCCTCCAAGGAAAAAAGACAGGGCTTGTCTGAGGAGGTGCTTGAGGAAATTTCCTGAGGTGATAGTATGATATGAAAGTATGATATAGGCAGGTGTGTGTACTTCTCAAAACTCTAGGATAGTAAAACATACATTGGTATACTTTTGTTTGTTTGTTTTTGTACAGGGGATGGATTGTACTTAAGGGTGCTTGACCACTGAGCCACATCCCGAGTCCTATTTTGTATTTTATTTATTCACTGAGTTGCTTAGCACCTTGCTATTGCTGAAGCTGGCTTTGAACTCGTGATCTTCCTGCCTCAGCCTCCTGAGCTGCTGGGATTACAAGTGTGCACCACCACACCAGGCAGATAAACTTTTTTTTTTAATGTAAATTTTACCTCAAGAGGAAAAATTCACCTGAACAGAGACTAAGCTCAAATTGATGATGTACATGCTGTAGAGATGTCTGTAACTAATTTTCAAAAGCATTCAGAAACTCAATGAATTGGATGATGTATGGATAAAGGACTGGAGGTACATACAATGATGCAAATGTCGAAAAAGAGAATGGTCATATCTAGGTCTTTAGTGTGTGGGCGTTAACTGTAAATTTATTTTTAACCTTTTTATATATTTAAAAATCTTCATTATAAAATATTGGAGGAGAAACCTAGGCAATCAAGAAAGAATATAGTAATCATGAAAATAGGTTTTGGGTTTTTTTATTTTTTTTATTAGTTGCTCAAGACAATGATCTTGACATATCATTCATTTGATTCAAATAGAGTATGAATTCTCATTTTTCCACGTGTACCGATTGCAGGATCACATTGGTTATAGAGCCATGTATATATACACAGCAATATTAGTGTCTGTTGTATTCTTCTGCCCTCCCTATCCCCCCCTCCCCTCCTCTCCCCTCCCATCACCTCTCTCTACCCAATCTACTGTGATACTTTTCTCTCTCTCTCTTTTTTTCCCCCTTCCCCCCTCACACCATCGTATATGTATTTTGTGTAATCATGAGGGTCTCCTTCCATCTTACGTGCAATTCCCCTTCTCCCTTCCATTCCCTCCCACTTATCTTCCCTGTTTAGTGGTAATCTTCTTCTCGTGCTCTTCCTCCCTACTCTGCTTTGAGTCACCTCCCTTATATCAGAGAAGACATTTGGCATTTGTTTTTTAGGGATTAGTTAACTTCATGATAGTTTGTCACAAATAAGTCCTGGAAGAAAGCAGACCATAATATGTATAGGGGCAAGGCAGATATTGTGCCTACAGACACAAATGAACTGCAGCATATTAATTTCTATCCATACAATGTACATGTTTGTTTTTAATTATTAATAAGCCTGGTTTAAAAACTATGGAAACTTAATATAAAAGTTCTAGATTTCTGGCAGCTTAAATTTTGTATATGATAAAAGTTGTCTTTCAGATCAGAAAAGAAGCACGTTCTTCAGTAAAGCATATTGGACAACTATTCATTTACAATGAAATAAAGCCCAAATCCTTTCACATTGATTAAGTAAATATAAATTCTAGATGGAACAAAGATTTCTAAGTTATTTTTGTTGGTACATTATAATTATCCATAATGGTGGAATTTATTGTTACATATTTATACATGCACACAATATAACAGTTTGATGGAACAATAAATTTTAATTATAAAATCTATTACTAGAACCCCATAGTACCTCAGTAGTTAGAGTGATTTTATCTAAATGGTGTTTAACTAGAGACTCAAAGGAATATAGAAGTCATTATCCAGAATCCTTTGATTCTAATAAGTCCTAATGTATATTGAAAAGTTAAGAGATTTATGCTTTTGTCAGTAAGACATAGGATTAAATTATTTTTCTATTTTTTATCCAGAGTTTTTGGAAGGTACAAAAGTACTCTGAACCTTAATTTCCTAATGTTTTGCCATGGCAAAAACATTCTAGCATGGGCCATCTCTTACTATTTTCCATAAAGAAGTTGATAAAGAGATAATAATTCTTCTGCTCTGCATTATCTATAATGATGTGTTGTTTGGTAGATATTGTCAATTAAAAAAAACTTATTTATTTATTTTTATTTTGTAGTTTGCTGGAAACCATGTCTCACTATACAGATGAACCCAGATTCACCATAGAACAGATAGATCTGCTTCAGCGCCTTCGGCGTACTGGAATGACTAAACATGAAATTCTCCATGCCTTGGAGACTTTGGACCGTCTTGATCAAGAGCATAGTGACAAGTTTGGAAGAAGGTCCAGTTATGGAGGAAGTTCATATGGGAACAGTACCAACAATGTTCCAGCATCTTCCTCTACAGCTACAGCCTCTACACAGACCCAGCATTCGGGAATGTCCCCATCACCTAGCAACAGTTATGATACCTCCCCACAGCCTTGCACTACCAATCAAAATGGGAGGGAGAATAATGAGCGATTGTCTACATCCAATGGGAAGATGTCACCAACTCGCTATCATGCAAACAGCATGGGTCAGAGGTCATATAGTTTTGAAGCCTCAGAAGAGGACCTAGATGTAGATGATAAAGTGGAAGAATTAATGAGGTTAGTTACTTTGCTTATTAAGATTCTCCAAGAATGTCTGTGTTCTTAGATTTTTTTTTTTTTTAAGTAATAACTGTATTTCAGTTACTTAACTATAAGAACTGATATTTTTCATTCCTTTCTTTGGAAATGAAAGAAACTATATTCAAATATTATGATTTTCACTTCTCTACTTTAGTAGCACCCCTCCTTTTTTTTTTTTTTTGCTAGTTGATGAACCTTTTTCATTCTTTCTGTTTATCAAAGGTTAGTTTTCTCTTTGTGGCTCTAACAGCTAATTTCTGTCTAACAAAAGTTAGTTTAATCCTTTACTGTAAAGTAAAGTACTTTTGTAAGTACTTTTTCTGAGGAATAAGATAATTTTATTTGATCCTGAATATGTACACTCTTCATTTTTTCCTCTAACATTCCAAGCCACAAAATAATTTAAGCAACTGTTTGACAAGAAGTAATTTTTAGTGAAACTACCATGCACTCATAAAAAGATACAAAAAACACATAATTTTTAGGAAGATTGACACTATTTTTGCCTGAAAGAACCTTAAGTTCTAATTTTAGCAACAAATGCATGCACACACAAACACACACACACACACACACACACACAGTATGAACACTGAGAATTTAAACTTCAAGAAGAGATGCCCACCTTGAACAGAGGTAATAAAGAAAGGTGTCACACGAGACACTGGGTCATTTTGAGGATGGCTTTGTGTATTTTCCATTGCTATCTGTGTCCTTAGTCCAGAATTTTCCTTAGCACATGTTAAGTGCCTTATATGTTAAGTGATTGAATGAATTTGGCCTCAACCTTAAAGGATAGTCACTGTTTTAAAAGATGAAAACTTTATGTAAAAAATAAATAAAACCATATTTAATGTTAAGGGATTAATATGATACCAGAAAAGATAAGATATATCTTTAGTCTGATAATGATTATAGATGCAGAAGCTTATTTCTTGCTTTTATCATTATGTCAAAATGAATCCTACTGTTACATGTAACTAAAAAGAACCAATAAAAAGAAAAAAAATTCTAGATGCAGTCTACCACTAAGCTACATCCCCAACCCTAGCTGCTGCTTTCGAATGTAATAAATGTATTGTTAAGATTAAAAAGGAGAATTGTTTGGGCATATATAGTAAGATGAACTTTTGAAATATAATAAGATGAACTTTTAATTTTCCTGAGTAGATAAGATGTCAACAATAAAATTAATTTTTTAGGTTTTAGTCTGTTTTTGTTGTTGCTGTTACTTATTTTTTATAAGTTTTTAATATAACAGTTAATTCCCAAATATGTATTATAGTAACAAGAAATATGGGCCACTGTCATAAAAAAGAAATACTGTAAAAGATGGGACAGTCTAATAAAGATCTAAAACCTTGACTTTTAACTCATAGTTTGACATAATACTTCATTTCAACTGCTTTATATCACAAATAAACAAAACCTGTTAAAAACAACTGGAATTTATAGTTAAATCCCACATTACACATGTTTGAGTTCCATCATTAAATATGAATATTAAATATTACACATTATAATTGGTATTTAACTTGCATACTGTCACTTCTTGCATAAATAGAATAATTGTCTTGCTTGAGTGAGACACTATCTTTCCTTTTTCTGCTTCCTTCCTAGAACTGCTTTTTTGGTGTCCTTTACTCATATAGGGGGTCTCCTTGGATCTCCTGGCATCCTCTGGACCTCTGCCATTCTCCCTTCCTCCAGTGTGGGTCCCTGCTTCTTTGCTCAAGTTTATAGAAGATAATCATAAAAATTAAATAATTTACCCAAAAAACCTTAGGTATTAGGTATTATGTAACAGAGCCTAAATTATAACCCCATGTTTTTATTATCAATATTTTGCTGGTATATGTTGCTACTATAAATAAATTATTCATGTTTATAGATTTTAATAAGAGTTTAGGAAAAGTAGTTTATATAACTGGAGACACAGCATGAATAGCCTTACTGGGCTTGCCATTCCCCTTCCCAACATGATGTTTATCACTTCAGATCAATCACTTATTTACCAGATGAATTTTTATTGCTGGAATGTTAGAAATTTTTTTTGAACAGTATATCTTTGAGTATTCCTTGTCTGCCTAGGTATGTACTGCCGTTGCTGATCACTCAGCACTGGTGACATTACAAATGCCTTCCTGCCTTCATTTTTATGTATAAAATCCACCTTTCGCTGGTTCACATTGAGAAAACTCTAGGCTAGATGCATTTTCCAAATCTCATAATCTACTGAGTCTATACTGGATTATAATTTCAAGGTACACAGTGGAGATAGAATGGCATCAAGTTATAATTGTATACCTGAACAACTTGTTAAGAAAGGGTCAGAAAGAAAAAAAAAATGGCCACTTTTCCCTTTTATTAATTAGGGTAGGGAATAAAAAGGCAAACTAGCATGTGAATTTTAATAAAGTGGTGAATATTACATTTTAGGAAAGACTTTAAAACCAAGAATGATAGCTCATTTCACATTTAATGTCTTTTTAAAAGTATATCTATTAATATATGAATATACATAGGATTGTGTGTCTACATCTGCTAATAGTATGCATCTACTAATGTTTATTTGCTAATTATATATGCATCATGAAATAACAATTTAAATGAGGCTCATCAGAATTAATAATGGCACATGTTAAGGATGTTATTCTTAGCACCCATGTACTAAATCTTATGAGTGTGTTAGTATTTTATACAAAATATGAGACTCTCTTAAAAGTTGATTGCCTGTAGGATTGAGCATCCTTAATTAATAAAACTGAAGTCTGAAATGCTTGAAAATTAAAAACTTTCTGAGCCACTAATATAATATAGGTAGAAAGTTTCACAACATTATTAATGCACACAGTTATTTAAAAATATTACATAAAATTGCAGACTATGTGCATGAGGTATACATGAAACATAAATGAATTTTCTGGTTACACTTTGGTCCTATCCCCAAGATATCTCATTTCCTATATATATGCAAATATTTCAGAATCCAAAAACACCCAAAATCTAAAAGTTTCTGTTGCCATGCATTCAGGATAAGGGATTCTCAGTCTATATTTACTTGTGTAGGTAAGATATTATATGTTTTATAAGTAATAAGATGAAATGGTCATGAAATACAATTAACATGTTGGTTATTCACATATTGTAGCTTTTCTTTTAGTGTATTTTTTGTTTTGTTTTTGTTATTTATTTGTTTGTGTTTTTTATTTTCAGTACTGGGAATTGAACCCCCCAGGGATGCTTTACCACTTACCACTGTGCTACATGTACCCCATCCTTTTAAAAAATTTTCTGGGAAAAGGTCTTGCTAAGTTGCTAAGGCTGGTCTTAAACTTATAGTTCTTCTGCCTTATCTTCATGAGTCACTGGGATTACAGTTATGTGCCTCCACACCTGGTTTGTGTTATTTTAAGTTTTAATGTTATGCTTCGTATGTCTTCATGGGTGGAAATTTATATAAGTTTTAATTCAAATGTGAAGGACATTAGTATGCAAGTGTGAAATAGACGGTCTTAGTACTCTGCTTCATCTCTGGGTATCTATGATACAGATAAATATTTTTAAGAAATCTAAAGAATGCTCAATCTATATTAAAAGAATATGAAAGGCCTTAAAGAATCTATGTTAAAAGAATATGAAAGGCCATTTTAAAATGTGTCGTCTTTAATATCTTTTGTTCCAGAAAATGAAGCAATGTCATTTGAAGCAACCATAAATAACTCTTTTTCATCCTGATTTGGGGAACTTAAATATACCTGAGAATAAGAATAGATCAGGTTTCCCATTTTACAGCCTTTTACAAACACACCCCCCCATGGTTGTAGATAGACAAAATACCTTTATTTTGTTTATTTATTTTTATGTGGTGCTGAGGATCAAACTCTGTCTCTCACCTACCAGTGAACTACAACCCCAGCCCTTAACTTTTTATCTCTTAACTACAGATTTGTTCACTCATTTCATGAATTAAGTTTTATGTTATGTAAACCCTATGATGAATGAGACACAATCTTTGTGCTAAAGGATTTTACAGGGTAGTAGGAGAGATAAGATTAGAAACAACTATAATATAGGATAACATGTAATATATTAGCATGTGAGTAGTATAATTGAATTGTTAAGTTTAGCCATTACAAAGAAATCTTTTTCTTAGCTTGAGAATGAGGGAGAACTTCGCTTAACAATTGACATTTAAATTGTGTCTTTTAAAAAATGGTGATTTGATAAAGATGTATTGCTGTGAATTCCTTCAGATAGCAGGTTAACATGGAAACTTTAGCAAGTTATAAAAATAAAGACATGTCTGTAACTCCAGTAGCTTGGAAGGCTAAGGCAGAAGGATTGCAAGTTTAAAGCCAGCCTCAGCAATTTAGTGAGGGATTAAGCAACTTACCGAAAACCTGTCTCAAAATATAAAGATATAAAGGGCTGGGGATGTGGCTTATTGGTTAAGTGTCCCTGGGTACCAAAAAATAAACAAATACACACACACATACATACATACATGCACACATGAAGTAGAGGGTGGAAAGGGAGAAATTTCATCCTTATGTGGAACTCACCCAGATGAATCTAAGATAACAGTGATTTAGTTAACTAAGACTTTAGGAGTTTGAGATTTTATAAGAGAAAGGAAGTAAAAGGGATTCGTTCTCTTTAGGGAATATGTCAAATTTCAGATGAAGAGAGGAAGTAAGGAGTAGAAGTCAAGAGATTAGATTTGGAGTAAATGAAGTTTTCATATTAGCAAACTGGTGATTTTCTGAGAACACAATGAGGACAAGAACAGAGGCAGGTTGTTAGATGGCTGCAAATGAAGAGAGAATGAAATGGATATATGAAAGTTTAAATATCAAAGCAAGTCCAGTTGAATAGAACTCTTTTAATACTTAAGAGATTTTGGCACAGTGAAAGTTGAATAGTGTTATTATTTTGAAAATACATGTAGTAAAACCAAATAAATAAAAGAGTTATAGAACTCTTCCCATGGTGCCTTAGAGTATCTTGTAGAGATATTTACTTCAATATTTTTATGATTATAGGAGATCATTAGTTTCATATTTTCTTAGAGTCCTGCCTGAAGTTTTACAAAATAATAGTCAATGTTTATTATAGCACTTGTATAATTTCACAATTTTTTACATTGAATATATGTATAAAACACATGCATGTATAAATATCTAATATTATTCAGTATTTCATTTGTTAGACAAAAAATTTTCAAGCCCTTTGAAGGGTTTATTAATGTTCTCATTTTACCTGATGATTAAACCAAGGTGTGTACATATACCTGTGTTTATTTTGTTTTGTTTTATTTGTGGTGATGGTGGGGATTGAACCCAGGGCCTTAAGCGTGGTAGTTAAAAATTTCACATTTCAGTCACTGAACTAGAAGACTAGGCCACCCTGCTACTCCCCCTGTATCTTTTTTTTTTTTTTTTTTTTTTGATGCTAGAAATTGAACTCAGTGTCTTGCCCAGCAAGCACTCTGCCACTGTGCTATGTCCCAGCATTCCCTCCTCACTCAATCTTTAGTTTTAGGTTTTTCTTTCAAGAAAGTTGCTGTCTGGTAAAGACAGTAAAAAACTTTGTTTTGTTTTGTTGGGGAAGTGTGTGTGTGTGTGTGTGTGTGTTTATGTGTGTATGTGTTTTAACTCATGAGTACTTAAGAAACTTGCAGAATATTGAAGAGTATGGACAATGAGATGTCTGTGAATTGCTGTTTTGTGACTTTGGGGATTCCTTCATTCTTTAATAATTCACAAACTGGATATTCCCTATTGGAATAATTCAGTGTCATCTCTTCTGTATGATTTAGTGTCTGCTCTAGGTGAATTTGATTTAAAATAAACATTTAAATTTTAATTTAACTCAGTTGTCAAGAAAATACTATTAACTCATTTTTCCCATAAAAGCACATTTTTTTTTCATTTAACCTGAATAACTATTCTCCTAAATTTGGTTTTGTTTTCATAGAAGAAAATTTTTAAAATTAATTTTTTGTTGTTTCAGACACCATATGTTTGGTTGTTTTATATACATAAGTCAATTGGAATACATAGTGCAAAAGTTATTCCTTGCTCAAGTAATTATATACACACAAGCATTTTGGGAAGAACCTAGCCAGTATCTGCATCAGAATCAAAATCACTATGAGAAATTTTAAATACTGTTATTAGGCAGCTGATTAGTTTCTTCCTTTAGGAATCTTTTTGGTTAGGATTTCTAGCCAATAGATTAAAAATATCACCACTGATTATTTTCGCATAGGAACTTTTCTTGAGTTTCTCCAAATAATCTACAGAAAGATTCAAACCCCTTTAAAGAGTTGTGATTCATACAGGAAACAACGTGTAAACATTTTGTGATACCCTTTGACTCAGATCAAAGGTCAGCAAAGTTTAGAATCAATTATTGTTATCGTTTAGACCGGTGGCCAAAAGACAAAATTTAGGCTATATACAAGAGAAGAAGAATATGGCCAGAGATATTTATTAATAAATATCAATATATAACAATAAGTGAATACAATTTTTAAAATGCAGGTTCACTAATCGGAAGAATGAAATGAGGGAGGGAGATAATATTTTGCTCAAAATAATTGCAAATGTTCATCTGAGAAAATAACTCTTAGGTCATAGGTTATGTAAGAACAAATGGCAGACCAGATTCAGATTATGGGCCGTAATTTGCTGACTCCTTTATTAGATAATAACTTACCACTATCTGTGTTACTTTGAGCTTGAACAAAAATCAGGCCTGTACTTTTGTAATCTTATTGAAGATAAGGCATTCAAAGAGAAATTGGTCAGTTCTAAGGGTTTACATATGCTTGTATTTAGGTATTCTGTTTGTTCTAGTGGAGAAACAGAAGTCTTGCCTTTCCTTGTCTTTCTCATAAAAAAGTCTGGTCTTTTGAGAATTTGTTGAATTTTTAAGGAAGTAAAAATTTGTAATAGGCATTTTAATAAAGGAAAAAATAGGTCTAGAATATATAATCCTACGAACAGAATAAAGTGTAATTTTTATTAATACGTACTTTTTCAGCAGTAAAGTTTAATATTCCACCTATCCCATTAATTTTTTTATACAACAAAAACAAGGCAAAGCCTTTCTTAAAATGGCTGGTATTTTCAGCTGTGAGAATGATAACAGTTTCTTCCTTAATCATTTTAAAGATTTTTAAGAGAACAGTGTGCGCACAGTTGCTTAGTTAATATACAGACCCGTAGTCTATTCACGACTGATTTTCTCGTTGCTTTTCATTTTTCTGGAATTTCTGCGTAACATATATTTACTTACCAGTAAAAAAACTTCATAAATACTATGTGACAGCCCTGTTCCTAATGTGAGTTATATACAGCATGCATGAGATGAACCATAACTGATATTAGACTGATGTCTTCAGTGGCATTCAGTAAAGTGTCTGTCTGATGTTGTGATGTTTAAGCACTCAAATATTTGGTGTTCTTGGTTTGTTGTAATTTCATATTTTCACACAAGTTTGGTTCGTTTACCTTTTTTATTTTTGTGTCCTTTCTTTCTGTGTTCTCCCCTCCTCTCTGCTTCACGTTTCTTTTAGCAAAGATGAGGATTTCTACCTTCAACATACATTGTTGGTCTTGTCTTCTGTTTTTGTTAGGAGGGACAGCAGTGTGATAAAAGAGGAAATCAAAGCCTTTCTTGCCAATCGGAGGATTTCCCAAGCAGTTGTTGCACAGGTAACAGGTAAGAGCTGAAGACCCCTTTATTCTGAAATTATGTCTTGTCTCTGCCTTCTGTGCAGATGTTATTTGCATTTCTGCATTGCAGTGCAGATTTGTCAACTTAGGCATAATAATGTATGCCTATGATTTAAAACCATTGTCTCTGTTATCACAGAACTTCTCCAGTGATTCTTTTTTTTTCACATGTGCTAGTAAGTTTTATAGCATTTGTAATAAGCAAAAAATTTGATATGTTATGGCTAAAAATAGGTTTCTCTAGTTTTAATTGTAACAAAGCTTATGACACAAGCACATCCAAATGCTAGCTCCATTTAATTTATAAAAGCTTTGGAGTCCTCCAAATTGAGTTCCTTATTGTACCAGTTAAAGAGTGATTTGTGAGGGCAAAGAAGCTATGGGGATTTTGTAACCACTTTTCTGTGTGTGAAAGCTTTCCTCAAACCATTATTGAAAAGATGTGTTACCATTGTCTTCTCTTTGTTATTTATATCCCATCCCATTCTCCACCCTCACCCAAAACCCATCTTTAATATGTGGTATATATGTGTCATTCTCTATTCAGATTGCATTTTTTATAAAGTTCTTAAATTTGGTCTTAGCATGTCTTTGTTGGTATGTGGTCTTTTTCTTGCATTTCAGTGATTTATAAGAATCTAAAGTATTAACTGTGTCTAGTTATTGGAGGAACCAGAATCTCTTTCAGCTACATTTTGTAGTTTCAGTTTTGTATGTTTGGCATTAGTAAACTTAAAATTGATTTACCCTCTTTTTTTTTTTTTAACACTAGGAACCTATGTGTCTTTAGACTTTTCATTCTCTGTGCCACAATTTTCTTTATGAAATTCTGTGTTTCTATAATGAAAAACCTGGGTCTGATCTTCAATGGTATCTTTCAATTTTAAGATAGTCTTTCTATTCTGAGACATTGATATGTATTGAAACTAATTTACTTAGAAGGCTGTTACTGAGTATTAATTTGGTTAAAAACAAAATTTAAGATTAAGGATTTTTAACTTTCATTTCAAATATCAAATATCGAAGTTCAGCTAGATGTGGGAGTAATATATTATTATATAATAGTGATATATTTTTGTAAATGACACGTCTCTTTTCTTGGTGAGAGTTTTAAGACATGCCCTTCCATATAGAAGTTGTGGAGGGGGGCAGGTACTGGGGACTTAATCCAGTTTACTCTATCCCTGAGTTATACCCCTAGCCCTTTTTTATTGTTCTTTTAAGACAGGGTATCCCTAAGTTGTAGAGGCTGGCCTTGAACTAGGATTCTCTTGCCTGCCTCCCAATTTGCTGAGACTATAGACATGAGCTACTGCTCCTAGCCCATTTAGAAGTCTTAAACCCAAGGAGGGGTGTGAAATTAATTATTATCTTTAGGTGTTTATCAATGGGTTATTTAAAATTCTTAATCTTTATCTTCAAGCACTAAGTCATGGTGCTTACTACAGTACAGTATAAGGGCAAGTTACACAGGTTTTATTGAATCTCACTGATGTGACAGGCTATGAATAGATGGAATTTTGTCGTTTTGCACTTTTAATTCAGCCTTCATGACTGGAAGCGATAGTATATTCTAGTTTATAAGACTTAAAAAAAAGACAAAATTGTAGTACATCATTACAAAGTTGATATTGTTCAGGTAGAAATATTTCTGAATGTGTTATATACACTGAATCTTTAATCATCTTGGGCTTTTAAAATAGTGCCTTTGAAACCCATCCAACATTGATGCAAATCCTAATAAGATTCCTTTAGAAAGTGTTTCTCAGGCACATCTAAAAGCACTAGATATACCATAATTGGCTAAACATGGTACATCAAATATTGCCATTTTGGATAAGAAACTGAAAGATGTCTTCATATCTTGCTTCTCAAAATATAGTCCATGAAACAGCTGTGTTGAGATCACCTGGGAGCTTCTTAAGAAATGTAAAAATACAAAAGTACCACTTTAAACCTACTGAGAACAATTTTAACCACATCTCCAAGTGATTTAGGTTTGAGAAATAATATTCTAGGAGACTAGTAAATGTTCCTGACATTAACTTCAGTTGGTTGACATTGTTTAACATTACATCATTCAGTAGTATGCCAGCTCTTGTTTTTGAAAGCAAGAGTTGAAATATATATTTAGACAGTTATCATCTGTTATATAGCACACGGACCTTCCTTTTGCTCCCATAATTGTGGATCTCTGTTGTGTTAAAAAGTCTTCCCTCATTTCAGCATCACCCCAACTTGTTCTTCCTTTTCATTTCTACTCCAAAAACTTGGGTTGGGTTCATCCTTCCTCAGGCACATATCTTTAGTGATTCTCCACTAAGAGTCTAAAAAAAATTCCATGTAATACAACTCTAGCTTCCTTTCCTTCATCTTCTATTCAGCATACCCTCTAACCATATTCAGCAAAACTCCTGTAGTTTCCAGAGCTCTGCTCAGGTGTATGCTTTTACATTCTTCATTGTTACCTAGGAGGCCTTTTATCTCCTCATCACATCCTCATCAATCTCCATTTTTCAAGATTATCTCAGCTGTTATCTTTTGCTGTTATAATGTATTCTGAATTTCCCTGCCCTAAGTGTTAGTGCTCATTTTAGTTACCATTTTAGAGGAGTGGTCTTCAAAGGCAGTGACCTTTTCCTACACATGCCCAGAGGCTACCATTGAACAGGCATTCTGAACATTTCCTGTTTACCTAGCTACCTCTTAGAGCTACTTTGTGATATAAAGGGATTGTTGATGATGTTAACACAAACTAAATGTGAAAAATAGTCCATTGTGACCTTTACAAGAATAATTATTTATTTGGTTAACATATGCCACATAAGTTTTTGCCCATAAGAAAATTACTTTTTTTTTTTAATCTACAGAGGATCTATGAGGAACATTGGTAACCAGACTGGCATATTTTTTTCTTTTGGCCAATTTACTTTAATTCTTTTGTTTCTACTATATTATTTATTATGTTACATTTTTACCCAGCCTGTCAAGCCATCAAGCTAACAAACGAGGACAGAGCTGCTAACTGAAGAGTATAGAAAGTTAGTAAGAGTCTGAATAAAGGCTGACCCTCATAATTGACATACCTAGAATAGAGAGAGCCTGGGAAATGAATCCTCAGCATCCATTGCTTACTCCCTAGAACACCTGAATGGTGTGTTCTGTCTTTAAACAAATTAGTCAAGTTTATCTGAAAAGAACATCTACACAATGAAATCTATCCCCAAAATAAAGTTTAGAATGTGATGTTCTGGAATTTTGTCCTGTAACAGATTCTCTTAAATTAAGTCATTTAAGTTCAACTCTAATATGTGAAATCAACCTTGAGATAAAAATGAGAACGAATGGTGCATAACAACAACAACAACCAAAAAAAAAAAAATGCTAAAAAGTGTAGCGAGGTACAAAATTATAACACATGTGTTGTTCCAGAAACAAGTACAGAAATTTCTTATTATAGATTTGGCAGGTTTGTATAATAAGATAAACAAGAAGTTCATGGGTGGGGTCTGTATAAATAATATCCTACTGATAGGAAAAATGACAGTATAAACAGGATATAATAACAGTGCCTGCTGAATTCCCAGCATGTTATTTGTAGCTTCCTTCACAGTCACAGCTGCTCCCACTGAGGGTGGACTTCTACCTCTGTAAGAGGTCGGCCAAGATTCTAAATTCTCACTAACAATGGGGGTGGGGGAATGAGCATGACCTTCACTTTAATAATAAACACATGTGTTCTATATTCACTTTCAAGGTATAATGTTTTCTTAGGCTGTTTAAGAATTCTGAAAACATAATATTTTAAAAAATGACCTGGGAAAAATCAGGCACACAGAATAAATGAGTGAATGGACAGAGCTTGATGAGTACTTATCACCAAAGAAATGTACTAATTGGATTCATGTCCTTCGGAAAAAAATAAGTACGTGGAAGAAGGGAAAAAAACACTCAATAACTCTGAATTTTAAGAAATTTATCACATTTTTTTAAAAATCATAATAATATTATGGAAAAGCCACAAAATACCAAGGTTTTAGTTTTTCTGCCATTAAATTGCCTTGTGACTGGGAGCCTCATTCTCCATACTTAAAAGATGAGGGGTGTTTTAGTCAGCTTTTTCACTGCTATGACTAAAAGATCTGACCAGAACAATTTTAAGAGGAAATTTATTTGGAGATTTAGGATTTCAAGAGGTCTCAGTCCATAGAAAGCTGGCTCTATTCCTCAGGGCACGAGATCGGCCAGAACACATGATAGAAGAGTACATCATGATAGAAGAGTGTGACAGAGGGAAAGAGTTCACATGATGATCAGAAAGCAGAGAGAGACTTCACTCACCAGATAAAAATATATACTCCAAGCCACACTCCCAGTGCCCCACCTCCTCCATTACCATTCAGTTAATCCCATCAGGGATTTGTTCACTGATTGGGTTAAGGTTCTCACAACCAATCATTCTTCTGAACTTTCTTGTATTGTCTCACACATGAGTTTTGGGGGAACACCTCAATCCAAACCATAATATTTCACCTCAACCCCCAAAGCTCACATGCATCTGACAATGCAAAATACATTTAGTTAATTCCCAAGAGTCCCCTAAGTCTCAACAGTTCCAAGATTGCTCAAAGTTCAAGTCCAAAGTCTTCTCTGAGGCTCAAGAGAATCTTGCATAGTGAGCTCCTGTAAAATTAAAAGCAATTTACAAATATCTAATATATAAAGGTACTTAGTAGATATTTCCATTTGTAAAAATAGCAATAGAGAAAGAAGGGATAGGACCAAAGCAAGACCAAAATCCAGCTGGGCAAACAGGTCTTATAGTTCTTTGTTTGGAATCTGGATCATTTGTCATGATGTCATCTCCAAAGGACTTGTGTAGCTCTGCCCCTGTGGCCTTGTTGGTTGCTTCCCAAGTGGCCTTTCTGTTGACTTGTCTCTGTTCAATTCCTGTAGCTTTCCTAGGACCATGTCTCATGTTATTGG